AGAGAGCATAACAAAACAATAAATAACAGTAACATTTTCTAAAAGAAAAAGGAGTATTTTTGTTGTCTTTCTGCTTTGCCAGGCACATTTTAGGGGAAAGCTTTGACTAAATAGAGCCTTGGAAATCTGACCTCGTCTGGCCTAAGAATAGAGTGAATCTGGTCCTTCTGAATTTCTCATTCAGGTTCTCAATGTTCCAGGAAGCAGTTCGCTCAAGTTTCTCATCTCCATTTAGCCCTCCTGAATGCCCGCTTCAGTGCCCAGACCTCGCTGCCAAGGACCCTGCTGGTACATTCCGCTGCCATTCAAAGCCGCAGCCCAGCACCCGGCCTGCACTTAGAAGCCTGTCTTACAGCTCGAAACAGGTGGAAGGACGTTCTGCCTCCGAGCGCTGCTGGCACGTCTTGCTGCTGCTTCTGCCCAACGCCAAGAATGACAAAAATCTTTTGTGTATGTTCGGGGTGGGAAAGAGCAGATCTGACCATGAGCAGCCGTCGGCTTGCTGTTCAGACAGGATTCCCAGGGTAGCTGCTCTAACTCAGACGGCAATGATTCTAACAGTGTGCTTGGTTGTTGCTAGGATGGATTGATACACACTTTGGACAAAATCATTTAAAATTGATGCTTTCATAATACCATTGAATAGGTTATGGATCAGCTTATGGATAAAAAACACATGCTAGTGTCATAATAAGAAAGTAAATAAACAATGATTTAACTTGAGCTGTGTTTACACTTCTGTTCTAAACAACTGCTTGTAAGAAAGTCATTAGCTATTTGTTGGCAAAAATCTGAATGGACAAGAGATTTTTGATCTGCAACTACAATCCAGTCTTACCTTTTTATGGGCTGACTCCTCCCTGAACTAACAAATTAGTCAACTTTGCACTGGAATTATAAATTCTAATTTATTAACTTGGCACTTGTTTGTTAGCCAAAGACTAACCTCGGCTTAATTTTCAGTCTTGACTCGTAAGTATTGGCACAAATAATACTTTTTAATTTCTTGAGAGAAGAAAATAATTAAGTTAGTATTCAGACACTTTCAGAACTGCAAGAAAAAGATGGGCTTGGTGGTGCATGCCTGTAATCCCAGCCCTCCGGAGGCTGAGGCAGGAGGATCGCTGTGAGTTTGAGACCAGCTGGGACTACATAGTTTGACCCGGCCTCATACAAAGTGGCAAGAATGATGGGCTAAGTGTGTTTAAAGTGAGGCAGAGAATATAAAGGGGGTTTAATGGCAGTGTATTTTTTACTGTAATCATTTTAAAAAATGTAAACATTCATGGTACAGTAGGTTTTTTAAAAAATCACACCTCATAGATATTTACACTAAAGTTACAGTTTAGGGGAAGGCAAAAATGTGACTAATTGAAATAAATTATTCTTGGAGAGTAAAGTCTCTCAACATAGTTGTATGAATTTCAAAACTGTTGGTTAAATCTCTTCAAGGTCTTATTAAATGTGTGTTAGTTTAAAAAAAATATTCTGTGGGCCGGGGATTTAGCTCAGTGGTTCGGTGGCCTGGCTTGCAAGCACAAGGACCTGAGTTCATTCCCTGGTACCAAAAAAA